CAATCCCTAATGAAGAAAGTGTTCAAGAGTTTGTTACGGAAATGCGTGCGGTATTCTTTGACGATATATTAGTTTACAGCCGTACCTTAGAAGCACATTGTGAGCACTTGAGAATGGTGCTAGGTATTCTGAAAGAGCAGTTGTATGCAAATCGGAAGAAATGTGAGTTCGCTTGTACTACATTGGAATACTTAGGACATCTGATAAGTTCGCAAGGAGTTCAAGCTAATCCAAAGAAAATTCAAGCAATGCAAATGTGGCCAGTACCTAAGAACCTTAAGGAATTGAGAGGGTTCTTGGGATTGACGGGATATTACCGGAGGTTTGTGGAAGGATATGGGAAGTTAGCTTAACCCCTCACTAGACAGCTGAAGAAAGATAGTTTTCATTGGACCCATGAAGCAGAGTTGGCCTTCCAGAAATTGAAGGATACGATGATGAAGGTCCCGGTTTTGGCTTTGCCAAAATTTTCTCTACCTTTTGTAGTGGAGATTGATGCTTCGGGAGTAGCTTTGGAAGCGGTGTAATCTCAGCAACAAAAACCTATTGCCTATTTCAGCCAGGCATTATCAGCAAGAGCTCAACAAAAGTCCATTTATGAGAGGAAACTAATGGCGATAGTGTCAGCCATCCAAACGTGGAGGCATTACCTTCTGGAAAGGCATTTTATAGTGTACACAGATCAAAAGTGTCTGAAATTTCTGTTAGAGCAGAGGTTGATTTGGGTAGAACACCAGAAATGGGTCACTAAGTTACTTTGCTGTGATTTTGAGATTCAATATCGACCAAGCCTAGAGAACAAGGCTGCGGATGCATTGTCCAGACTTCCAGGGATAGCTGATTTAGCTGTCATAACCGTATCTAAGGCGCTGGATTCGGGGGAATTACAGGTTCAGATGGGTGCTGATGAGAGGCTAGCAGGGATTAGAGAGGTGCTACTCAAGGATCCCTTGTCTATTAAAGGATGGTCAGTGGCTGATGGGTGCCTTTTATACAAACAGAGGCTAGTGTTACTTAAGGGGTCAGACTTCATTTCCAGAATTCTCCAAGAGTTCCACAGCAGTGCGCTGAGGGGCCATTCGGGTGTATTGAAAACTTACAAGCGAATAGCCAGGGAATTGTTTTGGACAAGAACGAAGAAGGATATTCAGAATTTTGTGAGTGCTTATTCAGTTTGCCAACGAAACAAGTATATGGCTTTATCACCTGCGAATTTGCTACAGTCATTACCCATATCGGAGGCTATTTGGGAAGATGGATTTTATCGAAGGGTCGCCAAAATCTCGAGGTTGGGATACGATATTGGTGGTAGTAGACCGATTGAGCAAATGTGCACATTTTTGACCTTGAAGCACCCTTTTACCTCTAAGACTGTTGCTGAAATTTTTATCCAAGGAGTGGTCAGACTTCATGGATTTCCTCGTTCCATAGTGTCGAACAGAGATAAGGTTTTTCTCAACTTATTTTGGACTGAACTCTTTCGGCTCCAGGGTACTCATCTTCGCCGTAGCACCGCTTATCATCCACAAACGAATGGGCAAACGGAGGAGGTGAATCGTTGTTTGGAGACTTACTTATGGTGTTTTGCAAACAAACATCCACGTTATTGGTTAGATTGGATTCTGTGTGCTTAGTTTTGGTATAACACATCTTTTCACACTTCTACTAAGACCACTCCTTTTAAGATCGTGTATGGAAAGGATCCTCCTCTGATCATACGCTATGGTACTCAACACTCTCCGCTGGCTGACCTTGATCTGCAGTTACAACAGCGACAGGGGCGGAGATAGGGGTGGGCTGTAGCCCACCCTTGCCCAACCCCAGCTCCTATAATAAAAAAAAAAAATTTTTTATTAAAGCCCAAAATTTCAAATTTCCAGCCCAATAGCCCACCTTCCAATTCCAACCCAGCCCAATTCCCACAAAAAACTAAACCCAGCTACCCAATTAAACCCAATTCCCACCCAATTAAACTCAATTCCCGACCTAATTGACGTGAAATCCCCAATTGAACCAGAGAAGACAACTCTGCGCCTCTGCCATTGACGATTTCTTCCCGTTCGACGTTCGCCCGTTCGCCACTTCCAGCTGTAGCCACTGACGATTTGTTTCTGCCGAAGCTTCGGCATTTCAGGTGAGCCTTGAATCATTTTCATCTTGTTTTTGTTTTTTTTACAGTTTTACTACCTGTCTACCTGAAAAGCTCTTGTTCAAAACCAGTTAATCCTACCTTTAAGGCCCATTTATTGTTCGTTAAGTCCTTCTCTTGACTGTTGTCTGTTGGGAGCAATTACTGTAACCGGACCAACGATTCCATTTTGTGTATTGTCAATTTGTCATAATGGTCACCATAATTCTGTTCATAACATAAAGAAGTTATTTTTGGCATTGTTAAATAGGCAGAATTATGTGCAAAAAATAAGCAAGAATTACCTATATGCTTGCCATTGACAAATGCTGCTGGAATTCAAGTTCTCTCTTTGTCCTCTATCATTGTTTTGGGTTTTCTTATATATGGATTCTGGCCCAAATACATTTTCTGAACTACCTCCACCACCACCTGAGATGTTCCCAAAGAACTTTTCTCATGTTCTTGTTATACAATATTTCATGCCTTAATAATTTCTATTATTATGAGACTGGACCACCACCTGAGATGTTCCCAAAGAACTTTTCTCATGTTCTTTTTATACAATATTTCATGCCTTAATAATTTCTATTATTATGATACTGGCGCTGCTATTTGATGCTAGTATTAAAAATTTCATTAGTTTATTGTGATAATATTTGTTGTGTGTTGTTTCATATCTCAAGGTTGTTTTACTCAACAGAATCTAGACACTATCTAAGAAAAATGTTAAACAAGTGCTTTCCATAAAGATATTTTAAGAATTTTGGCATGAGGATGTTCGCTTAGTGTCACTTGGCTTTGTCCTTCTGCATTGATCTTATTGTTACCTCTTGCCAGCATTTATACCCTCACTTCTAGTTGTGTCATGATTTTCTCTTCTATTCTTAATTAAAATTACCATCTTTTCCATCTTAGTATAGTAGGGATGGCAGAGGATCTGGTAGCACAAGTATCTTTGTTGGTGGCTTTGTACTGGGAGGGCTTCTTGTTGGAGCATTGGGTTGCATATATGCTCCCAGGTATTGAAATATTACCTAGTTTTTGGTTCATTGAGTCAGATAAGTTCTCTTCCACTCTGTTTATATCTTCTTTTGGGTTCCTATAGTGAGAAAATTCTTTAGTTTATGTAATTTTAACATTATGCTTTTGAAGTGTATGTGTTGTACTTCAAGTTTTTCATTTTTTTTTCCTTACAGAGAATTGCAATAGCATATTTTCTGGCAGTGGCATGTGAAATTTGGCTTAGGAGCGATGACAAAGTTAATTCAGAATTATCTATGCTAAAGAAATATCAAAAGCAATGGTAAGTTCTAGCTCATGCCTGAATTTTTGCATTTTGAAAGTGTTGAAGAATATTATATTGTGATGTCCATTGCAAAGCTGTGTTCCAACTGAAAGAATCATGTGGAATAAGTATTGGAGACATTGTGCTATTTGATAAACCATTAGCTTCTTAGTAAAATGAAGAGATGCATCTCCAGGAGTTAAGCATGTTATTTCATCCCGTAAAACTATATGACAATACTCGTAGAAAACCTATGAACTACATAGAATCATCTCTTAGATTCAAAAACTTTATTCGTACATTACATTTTAAAAATTTTAGCCCCCCGTACGATCAATTCCTGGCTCCGCCCCTGAACAGCGAGATGAGATGATTGGGGTGTTGAAGTCAAAACTCGAGAAGACGCAATCTAGGATGAAGAAGGTGGCAGACACGGGAAGGATATCTAGTTTACCTTAAATTCCAACCATATCGATAGAGGTCCTCAGCTAAACGAACAAACGAGAAGTTATCACCCAGATTCTTTGGTACATATCCTATCCTACAGAGGCAAACATACACCCGGTGTTCCACGTTTCACAATTAAGGAAGGCAGTGGGCTCTACAATGTCCACCCAACCCCTCCCAACACTTCTCAGTTCGGAATTAGAGTGGAGGGTGCAACCTGTTGGGGTGTTGGGGATCAGATCAACAAGTGATTCAAAGGGTACAGGGCCGGAAGTACTTATTCAATAGCAGGACCTTCCATCCTTCGAAGCATCTTGGGAACCATTTGAGCTGATCAATTCTCAGTTTCCTGAATTCCACTTGGGGACAAGGTGCTCGCGTTGGCGGGGGGGTATGATAAGCCTCCCATACAGTTCACTTATCAAAGGCGCCACAAGAATGGGTGTAATGGGAATTAGGGGGGGAAAAGGTGTTTGTTAGTTAGGATGACGTCATTTTTGCTATTAGTAAATAAATAGAGAATAGTAGGATCTAGAAACCATGCAGCTGAGTAGTAAAAGTCTGAATCATGAGGAGATTGGCAGCTCTCGAAACCTGCCTTGCTATCTTTTATTATGTTGTTTCAATCAATTGAAGTTCAATCAAATAAATTCCTTATTACCCATCCAGTGTGTACTAAATTCATCTGCCCAGAAGTCTTTACGGTATAATTGAGGTGCTTAATTCATTGTATTATTGCAGATCCTATCAGAATTCTAAATCAAGGACACTGGAAGAGAGATCAACTAGCATGAGACAGCTCGGGAACTATGAAACAACAGCATAAGCCCGAATATAAAGACTAGGATTTTTTAGCAAAATTTACTCACGTGTCAACCTTTTCAAGTTATCTGCTTGAAACTTTTCCCTTTTACGATAAGGCAGATAAGGAGTGAGTAGCTACACATTTGTCTAATAAAAAGTGCCTATAGTTATATAAGAGGAAGCCAAAGTATAATAAATTTTAGTTAATCAATGAATCTATTCTCTCTATATCTTATAAACAACAATAATATGCAATACTAAATTAAAAGTTATCCAATAGAAAGGAAAGTCGAAATTAGCAACTTATACGTGAAATAGCCATACAAAAATAACCTGCATTTTTCATCAATGGAAAGGCAAGCTTCATGCATGTTTATATTAAGTCGATCCATCAAACTCTCCTTGGTGACTAGATGAGTTTCTCCTACAAAAAGAAGACACGTGGTTTACTTACACCATAATAGGAGGCTATGTTATGACGTAATATTAGAAGATACATTATTATATATAATTTCCAATTTTGATGTTTAATTTAGGAAATATAATCAGGGATTGATTTTATAGCATTTTCCTACTTCAGTTAGGACTAGTTTAAACCTCCTATACAAAGGGGGGCTTATGCGATGTAATTGATACAACTTTTGATAATGAAATAAATTGATATTCTCCCCCAATTTCTCTATATTCTCTCCCTCTTCTTCTCTTTTTTCCCCTCCTTTCTCTTCTCTTCCATTTCCCCTTCTCCTATAATTATCCTATTGCATCCTACGTCAATTTGGTAAAAAATTATTGTTCAACTGTTCACACTCAAAAATTTACGTTTAGCTCTTCTTCATCAGTTATTTATTTTTTTTTTAAAGGAAAAAAATGTTGCTGCTGTCCAAAACAACACAACCAACTGAACAACACAGCCATTCATATTACATCCCATATATATACAAACTCTAACCCAAACCGCCGCCACCTCAACATACGTACATGGCCAAAACCAACCATTCAGCCCGAACATCCATACACAAATAAACACCATCCCAACACACAAGCCGACCCAATAACCATTAGCCCATTACCCTACTTACACCAGCCCATAAACCGACCCCCATCATAATACACATATTTCTGGTCCAACAAAAACCAACCCACCAAAACCCCGGCCACAACCCAAAACTGACCCGCAACACCCCTCTTCCTCACCAAACCCTAAACCCATCAGTGCTGATCCACAATTCTTTAAAGTGATTAAAGTACCCTATACTTTAATCACTTTAAAGAATTGTGATACTGAAACTTGAGTGCTGATCCACAATTCTTTAAAGTGATTAAAGTATAAAAGGTCAAGAGAGCACAGTGTTGAAAACTATTTCTGTCAAATGACAGATATGGAACTTCTTCAGCTGCCTCATATTATCCCATTGGCAACAATAGTACAGTATAAGATAAAAATTTATAAAACTAGAACTTGATTGACAAAACAATAACAAAAAAATCAGTAACAAACCTGCAAGGAACATATTAATTAATTGATTGAAGTTGAAATCATCAATTTGCATTAAGAACCTCAAAAAATTAGAAATAAAATTTTTAGATACTAACCAACAAAAAAATTATGCATCACCTTTTGAATTTTTAACATCAATAACTCCACTCTTCCCAATTCTTTCCAAAACGCCTGTACCAAGACGCTCTTCAATGCCTTTCTTCAGATCATAACGACCAGAAACATTGATTACTGCATCTATGTCGTGATATTTAGATGCATAAAGGAGTACAATATTTCCTCCTGCAATGTCATTACTCAGAATTAGGTCATCTTGAAGAGGGAAAAGAATACACAGAAAATCAGCTGGTCAATGAAGCTTCTTTGCCCCTTCTACTGCCCCTCCCCCCAATAGAAAGTAGGAAAGGAAAAAGAAGAAACACATCAAGGAAAAATCAGCTGGTCAATGAAGCTTCTTTGCCCCCCTTTTGTGTTGTGCTTGGGTGTTCACAATGATATAATTAGAATTCATATATACCATAAATTTTCTAGTAGGGATGTCAAGTGGGGCGAGCCGCTTTGAGGGGCTAGAAGAGCCAAATTTTCTTCAAGCGAGCGGGCCTGTACTTGGCTTGCCCCAATGCGAGCATGGGCTGGCTCGGACCATTAACATCCCTATTTTCTAAGATCTATACAAAAAATGTGGAAATAAGAAGCAAGGACACAGATATGGGACATATAAGTTCGTACCCCTTTCCAAAAAAAGGCAGGCCATCGCATTGGGAAATAATTGAACAAAAGGTAATATTTTAGAATATAAATCATTGACTGGATGATTTCAACCAAGAGTTGAAGATACAGCGACAACAAAACAAAAAAAATATGGGTATGTTGGTCTTTGAATATGATTATTGCATAAGAGAAAAAATAATAGTCAATTGAACACAGCAACCAAATTACAGGTGACACGATGACAAAGGTAATCAAGGTACAATCCCTGGATTATTACTTTTCGCAACGGTTTTTTTTCCTACTATAAATTTCTTCTAATATGCCCAGTACTATAACGACCCATTTTATCATTTTTAAAGCTACAGTTTCATCCCATATATGTGATCTTGAAAATGTTCCAAATGCGTCCTTGACGTCATGCATCCGATATGTTCCTGAGGGTTCTCAAAGTATCCAAGACTATAAAAATAAGGTAATAATATCTCCTTGCAAGAATGTGACATTTGTCTGATACATATCAGGGTATGTCCATATCCAAGACCATGTAACATGACAATTTGGCATGGGGAGAGTATCCCTAGACTGAAACAAAGTGAAAATTTCCCCCTATAGGGACATATTAAAACTGCAAAAAATAAGATCTAATGGTCTCAAATGAGAATCTAGTATTTATACCAATTTGAAATGTGGGCAGAACATGACAATTCATGAACAAATTTTAAAGAAATGTTGTTAACATTTACAATTTCCACATTTTCTATTTCCCAAAGCTACGGTGTGTGAAATGAATGTCAGCATTTTACTGGAGAAGAGAGACATAATGAAGTAATAATAGTGGGTGTAATTGGCTCACCTTTACTATGCCCAAGAATTGTTTTTATTGGGCGGCTTACTCCATTAAAATATTCAACCACAGCTCTTAAGTCTTCAACCTCTCTATAGTAGTTACTATACCCAAATAAACCTTCACTTTCCCTGGAAATGATTGTGAACATTAAACAAAGAGTAGTAGAAAACTGACATAAAATTCAGAAATTAACAAGAGGAGCAACTTATCAAACAAAGAAGCAATGGAAATATTACCAAGAAAGAACGGTAATCATGTTCCACTAAACTGCACCCATAAATGACTAATTAAGTACTTTCTTATTTGTTACTCTCCCTTAACTCTGTCTATGTTTCCTCATAACAGGTCTTATGCCCCGACGGCGATGTTTGTAAAAAAAAATTATACTCATAGCTTGTATTTTTTTAGAACAATTTGGTGGCACTTTCCCTACTAGTGATGAGATGCACTGGACCTCGAGTGTGGAGAAGTAGGTAATTGTAGGCCAGAGTGCATCTCAAAAGCGATGTGTTGATTGACGTTTGAATCTGTGTAGAAGCAAGAGCTTCCATTCCCCAATGGATAGAGAAGGGTAGAGAAGCTAGTCCATGAAAATAGGATTGTTAGGAAATTTTAGAAAAATTATCAAAATTAGTGCATGTACGTACAAACAGAGTCAACATTCCTAATAAAATAGGTGAAATGATTAGAGGGAAGGTAAAGGAATTGAGATATGGAAATACACTTTGATACACAAAGGAAACAGTAAAACGATGTAGGAATTAATGTTAATCATTGTTTGAAAGATGATATTGTAGCCTCAGTCCTTGTTTTTGCCTGTTTCACTCTTAAGAAAGTTGTATCTTAGAGAATGTGTGAAGATAGTAGAGCTATCAAAAAAATTATTCTTGCTGTAGGTTCACTATTCATGGGTTAGAAGGTAAGTTATGAGTTAATTACTAGTATGTGGTTTTCAAAGATAGACTTATGAAGTAGATACAGTCAAATTAGTATTAGACCAAGACATGAATGAAAAACAGCCCTTATTGTTTAAGATGGTTTATATAAGTGGTTAGTTATGTTATTTGAGATTTCTAATATTACTAGTACTCACGTGAGACCAAATGTTGCATTCATTTATTGGGAAAACTCTCGTTGCTTATTTTGATGATATTCTCATGTATGGTTGGTCAAAGGAGTAGCATTAGATTGTCTTTGGTATGTTACTTATACCGTCAGATCTGTGATAGTATGCCAACAACAAAAATTATTTTTATGTGCAGCGACAATTGTTTTTCTTAGGTTTCATTATACCTCAAAGAAATTCTATTGATCCTAAAATGGTTAAGGCCATTCAAGAATAGCCTGACTCTAAAACATTAACTAAAGCTTGTCTCTTTCATGCTTTTGACTCGTTTGATAGAACATTTGTTACGGCTTTTTATACAAATGGTAGCCCTATTAGAAAAGGGAGGAGAGAATTTCATTAGGACCCATTACATCCATAAAACATTATTAGAAATTCAGCAAAAAACTACGAAGAGTTGTGTACAAAGATATGGTTTCGCTTTCATTGATTGTACTGCTTACTACCTAAAGAGTTTGTCATTTATGATGATAATCAAGCGTATAGATACCTTTGGTGTAAGACGTGTTAAAAGTAATTGCAGTGGAACAGTGAAGGAGAATGGATTCTACTCATACAGAAATATCATAGCAGCAAGTTCAAGCCAAATCATTTACATTTAGACATTTGAGGACAAACATGACATTGCTAGAGTGGATATGTAACATCATATTCTTGTGGCTAAATTATCACATTTAAGGACAAAAAATAAGCCGCCATGGAGCTCGAGTAGTGAGATAAGTGATAGGGTCCCACATGATAAGAGACAACTTGGAGAGCAATCTATAATATGCATGTAAGTGTATATATATTCTCCAAAGCATTCTTTTCCCGTTCTGTAGAGAAGTATATAGATATAAATTATACAAGGTAGCTCTAAAGCTTACCCATTTCCAGCAAAATCAAAGCGAAATGAACTAATTCCTTCATTTTCTAAAGCCATAGCTAGGTTCGCCATATTCCTGTGCTCCTGAATTTGTGAGAGATAAAATCCACTATTAGGTACAATATTAAAAATCTACCCAACCTGTTTGTAGCAATATAGTACATCTTGAATAAATAAAAAAAGATGGCTAATAATCTTGAGATTTCCAAAGAAAATTCAATGACATTATCTCTAGTCTCTATAAATAGTTGCCAAATTAATTTTTTTTTTATTATTTTTTATTTTTTCTATGATTATGTACATTAATGTTTCCAGCTTTAGATAGTCTAGTTTTCTTGCAAAACGAAACACAAGTTCTTTCATCAAAAGAAATTGTGGATTATAACTTCTTACCTGATAGCTTAATTCCTAGCACAAGTGCTACATGGAACAATAATTTGAAAAGCTACTATAAAGAAACATCTAGTACATCAAAGTAAAGCAGTAGAAATCATTAAGTATATTAATTTAGCAAGGAAGAGTTCTGCAGCCACAATTTTTTCCGTGGGTTTTTGTAACTTAGATTTCATTCTCATTATTTTCCACTAGAGATTTGGTTTTAGCCCATTATAAAACCGGCCAAAATCATTTTTGAATGGTTTCAGTATTAATTTTTCATAGGCACGTCCCAAAGGAATTAGTAAACCAAAGAATGTTTAAAACGAACAATTAGATTGCAGAACATACTTTTTGGAATCTAAACGAACACACTTGAAAGAATTTGCAGTGTGCTTGAATATAAATTCGATTCAAGATTCTTACTTGAAGAAGATGAATTTCAAAAAGACGGAGATAATGAAGTAGAAGGAAATTCAAACTCGATTCTTTTATTTTGTTCCAAAAGAAAGTTGAGGAATCTTGGGGGGGAAATATTTTGAACCTCTCTTCTAATTCTAAATTATGTTTTAAGAATTGAGAATTAAATTACTCTTACATTATCTTATGATCTGTTACTGATGTCATGTGCCTGAGGCATTTATCTTTTATAAATTTAACATCAATTTTGTTTATTCAAGATTTCAGTGTGATCTTTTTTTAATTTGGTACAAATGCAACATGGAAAAAGCAGAAGCATACCATTCTCTGATGGAAAATCTCACTCGCACTTCTTAGGTCGAAAAGGTCAAAGAAAATTCCAACTCCAAGTATTAGGTAATGCAATTCCAAACAGTTGCACTTACAGAAACTGGGTATCTAGCGGAGCATTTGCATCATAACTAAACAGAAACAGATCACTGACCTTTGTGCATAGAAAACCGTGGCACAATATTACAGTTTCAGTGGATCCAGTCTCGTGCAACAGCCCCACAAGTTTTTCTCCATGGTTATTTTTTATTATGATTTTCTGCTGCATAGCTGCTCAAACACGATCATGCATACATTATAACCACAAAATGGTATATAGAGCACCCTGGCCAAGTTATTTATGTCACAGTTTAGACAAATTTAACTTTCTTCATGATCAACAAGGAGGGCTTAGAGGAGATAGATCCACAAACCAAAACTATATTCTACTTGAGAACTTTCGGTGAAGAGAATCTCCTGATCCATAGACCCCGGGTTGCTTTTAAGGATAAGAAACCATCCAATGTGTTAACTTCGGGATGCAAGTCAATATAGATGATCGCAAAGCATTTATAACAAGTTAATGAAACAAATATATGAATTATCAGTTTCTGTTATACTTCATATGCAATAACGTAGTTATGTGAAACATAATCTTGTCCGAAATTGACCATTTAGTGGCAAGTACTAGAGTGTAAGACTTCATTCTCAGACTTGAATCTCAAGTATACACTCAGGCTCATCGTGAAATTGGAATTTTCATAGAAACACTTCTGTCTGCTTGTTGAATTGAACATTCATTCAACAGATAAAAACTTGCTACGATGTTATCATGTTTGGCTAAATTTAAAACATGTTGTGATATGTTCCTTATTTTACTTTTATAAAAAAAATTTACTCTAAAATGAACTCTTTTATTAGTGTCAAAATAATTATTCTAGCATTGCAAATAAAGAAAATTATTTGTTTTAAAACTTTTAGGCTTAGCTGAACATGAACTGGTGAACCCCGATTTCCTCCACGGAATATCGTCTAAAACTTGACTACTATATCTTACAACTCATTAAAATTTATCGATGCCACCAAATCAAGAAATCTAAACATTTACCCCCAGAATGATCAAATTACAGTTCATATACTGAATACCAACAACACAGTTATCACACTCATTACGAATGATCATAATCTGTATCTGCACCAGTCATCCATGGAAGGGTTTTCAAAATTTATAGAACTCCCAAATTTCATCAATCGGCATCCAATAATAGAAATTTAAAGCAAAAATCGGAAATGGGTCACTCGAATTCAAAGTATTTTAGTAATAATTAGCTTCCATACGTACAGAGATAAGAATATGTGCTAGAACAGGGGTGTCAAGCATTATTTACCTAGATTTTGAGGCATCATGTTCGTACTTGCTAGAAGAACTGAAGGTTGCATGGCGATTGGTGAAGTGTAAATTCAAATGAGTTGGGATTTTTAAAATTATCTGAATTCGGAAGAAAAATATCTGGATAAATAGAAAGTATTAATATATATTGTTTTCTTACTATTGAATTGAGCATGGGAAAAATAGAAATCGAAAAAGTTGACAAGTAGAATTGGGAACAGAGCAGAGTTGGTCATTTTCTAGAGTTCATACAGAGTGTGCTACTGTGCTCAGTGATGGCGAACCAGTCAAAAGTAAGGAAAATTACATAGGAGTCCCCTTCAGACCCATAATTGTTTGGTCTTCCCTACCTTCACCAAATTAGGCACATAAATCCCCATATCACATTTCCTATTCTTTCCGCCGAACTGCACTTCTTAAAATATTCTATATACATAGGCGAAAATAGGTGAACGAGTCAAATTTATTGCATAATAAAAAATTAACTTATTAAAATGTTATGTCTTACACATGACCTTTTCTGAAAGGTAATTCATCTCGATCTTCCTTTCATTTTATCTATTTTCTCAATTAACAGATTGTTTTGTGATATAATTGTCTTGTAGCCTTTGTTTAGAGCTGGTTTTCTAGTCCAAAAAATGGATTTTTTTTACCGTTACTTAGCGAGGTAGGCCCCATCAACGTGGGATAAAAGCAAAAAAGTACGACTGAAATTGGAACTCAACAGTGCAAAAATTCATTTTTTTGGGGCTCCAAACAGGGGCTTAAAATGAATATCAATCAAATACTCTTTATAACTTTGAAATTCAACGCTATCTCAACTTACTAACATAAATGAAATGTGACATGTAATTTTTGAGGTGTTAGTAGTTGAGATTAAAGACTTGCTAGTCTTTTAAAATTTTAATTTTTTTTCATTTATTTTCTTTTCCCTTCCATTTAGTAGAACTTATGTCTAATTTCCCATCGTTCAAAATTTGAAGGCCTAAAACGATTAAACAAGACTTGAATGTAATATTTTGTTGAGATTGAGGACTCAATATGTATTTTTACCCGACAAGAAAACATCATGGGACCACGGTAATTATCAATTGGATAATTCTCGGATGTGCATGTTTGTTACAGATTTTAATTTTAATTAAAATCAAATATTAATTTTAACCAGGCATTTATAATTATTGTTCACTTATTACTCATACGTGAACTCATTCCTCCTAAACAAATGAGTACTCATTGTGCATGGTTGAAAATACTGATTTTTTTCCATAATAAGCTAATAATTAAATTTTAAGATTAAAAAAAATTGTCAATTGGAAATAAATCTGCTTCTATTAAAAACAACCACCATCTTTTACTCATGCATCCATCTTACGTGGAATTCTAGTCACGTCCATGTGGAGATCGAGCATAAGTCGATGAGCCAAGGCTAATGAGCCTTAGAGGCATAACCTTGGTTTTTGCGATTAGGTCTACACTCTGTTTGGGGGAAAGGCTGGCCATGATGTGAAAAGAGGTAGGATGCTTAACTTGGTCCAACGGTACGAAAAAATAAGTAAGATGCCAATAGGCATAAGGGCAAAACTGAAAACAAGGGGATCGACTGGAGAACCATTATCAAAACTTTCAAAGTTAGAAGATTCTAAACTCATGATTCCTTGAAGCACAAGGCTAAGGCTAGATGCCTGAGTTTTAAGAGATAGAAAAACATGTATAAACGAACTGACAAGTATTGGATATACTCTTCTATGAGTATCTAATGACAAATAAAGTATTAAGAAAGCTCCTAAATAAAGCATATGCTAGGTCGTTAATAAAAAATGTGACCCGTGTTTATCATTTCGGTAAGGAAAGATAAATGATCAAACAAAGCATAGTAGGAGGAAGTAGGTTGATGCCCCTTGACAATTGCTATTAACAGAAAGATCATATAGGGCTTAGATGAAGGTGACCCACGAGCTACCCACTTCGGATAAGTGATGTGACGAGTTGACCGTCCATTTACCATAAGCACATGGGCGTCATAGAAGCCTCCATGGAGGTAAAGATGCCCTCTTTTTCCCCATACTGTAAAACCTTCATAAGTGCCAATGAGGGAAAATGAAATTTCCTAACCAAGATTTTGTCATCTGGTCTTCCCACATGGACCAAGACAAATTTTTATATTTGATTTGAACATTGCATTTGCTCCGAATTAATGATCATATATTTTACGTTTGACCTAAGTGTGCAAGTTAGGCATAGGTGGATAGAAAGATGATCGAGTTCTACTGACTTTAGAGTCTTTTGACAAAATAAAGTGATTTTTTTGCTTATAAATTAAGAATATTTGCAAAGGTAAATTCAATTCAAAGTGACTTTGATTTACCTCTAATAAGCATTGACTAATTTATAACTCTTAGATAGTGTTGACAAACACGCCAAACGATTTGTTGGCTCGTGAAAAGTCGGTTTGTGGGCGGCTGACAAGCCCGAGCACTAGGCGAGCGGCTTGTGGCTAGCCTAACACAGTGACCAAAACGGTTCGGTCACTGTGTAAGTTTAGTGACCGTGAAATTTTTTATTTTTTTCCTTCTTTTTTTCCTATAAATACCCCTCCCATTTCCCTTTTTTTCACACAACTCTCACTTTCTACTTTCGAATCTCTTCTACATTTTACATTCTAATCTTGATCCTACAATCTATCACTGGACTACTACATAGTCTTTATTCATTTCTCAATTCTACTTCTACATTCAATATCAATTATCACACTACAAATTTATAATTATAATCTTACACGTTAAATTTCTTTCAATTCTTGATTTGTTACTTACTATACATTTTATATCAATTCACAAATGGATCCACACTCATTTGTTGAAGATTTGTTCAATATCATAGGCAAATCAGCTATCACACCGCAAAGTCAATTTTAGACTGAATTAGCCTATCTAAACGAAGTACCAATTCTTGAAAATATTCCGGATTTCAATGCTCATGGAAGTAGTAATCCAATTGATTTGGATGAGGTTGATGTTTTCGAAGTTGAACGGGAGGATGAACATGAGTTAGATATTCCCGATGTAAGATGGAAGCGAAAGGGAAAAAACAAGCAAAATGTTAGGATCATTTTAAATTGATTAAAACAAGTCGTGCGGTCGATGGAGTTGCAGAATATGGCATATATGGAACTCCACTTATTATTAAAATCTTGTAAGTGTTTTGGACATTTACTAACTGAATTTTATAATAATGGGCATATTAGAAACAATGATGATGATGTTTTGAATGAATCCGATTGGATTTTAACTTTTAAAATTAAAAAATTTTGACAAATTTTTATGGTTTTACAAATATTTTGTCTGGAATTTACTATCTCACTAGTTGTATGGTACTTGAACGTCTTTATATAATTACTAAGGCTTTTCATAGATATAAAAATGACCCCGATTTTAGTGAAATTATATATTCCATGGAATTAAAATTTAGAAAATATTGGGAAGACTTGCCTATGTTATTTCCGTTAGCATGTATCATGGAACTCCGATATAATTTATTGGGTACTAAATTTGTAATTGATCAGATTTCAAGAGTTTTAACTTTTAATACACCTATCACTTATAGAAATTTAGAATAAATTTTATGTAAAATATATGAATTATATGTAGAACAAATGAGTGCAAATGTTAATTGAGTACCCTCTGCACTTACTCCACCCGTTGATATACCAGAAGACGACGCTGAAGTATTAACTTTATTCGAAGGCATTAACTTATATAGATATGATGCAAATGCATGTGGTTCCTTTAGTAGTAGTTTGTCTACTGCACGTAATCAAACATCAAACGCAAGTCCAAATGCATTGTCTGCCGAATTAATTCATTACTTTAATTATAATATGCCTAATAACAAAATAATTAAGAAAAGTTCAGAAGAAGTAATTGAGTTCTGGCGAAAGTACGAACAACGATGGCCAATGTTTCTGCTATGGTAAAAGTCCTAATAACACCTCCGGTTAACACTGTAATTTCGGAATTTGCTTTTAGTGTGGGTAGGAGGGTTCTGTCCTAGGTTAGGAGCCGACTGAAAGAAGGTATTTTGAAAACATTAATGTGCGTGAAAGACGGCAAGACGGTCATTTTCGACTGTAAGATAAATATGTCGAAATTGTATTTCGTCAAGTATGTGATATTTAATTTAACCATATTAATCAAAATTTATTAATTTATAATAATTTATAATTTTTTTAAAAAATTATACACGTAACAAGTTGTTTTTGTACACTTTTTAACTCCACCTACTCGAAATGGAAGTAGTCGGTCCCAAACCCGAATAAAGGAGGAGAATTTATCTTAAAATAATAATAATAACAAAAATAAAAAAAATGGACGAGCTCGCGAGTCGAAGTTCAGCTCGGCCTACGAGCAATGAGCTCACGGGTCGAGCACGAGTAACAAGCCACGAGCTTGTCTTGACGAGCACGAGCCAAGCTCGTGAACATACAGGTCGAGCCGACTCGACTCGACTTGGCCTATTGTCACCTCTACCTTTAGATCCTCTTTCTAGATTGGCTCATCTCTAGCTCTATTTTCTGACTTTGGTCCCAAATTTTATTGACCAATGACCATCCCGCTTAACTTTGACCGTCTTTTTTGAAACTTAAATTCTTGGTCTAAAACTACAGTTTTTTATTCCAAAAGAGAAAAATCCGTAAACATTTAGACGAATTCTTCACTTGAAAGTTGAAATACATTTTTGCCATTAAAAAGAAATTAAATAGAGTAGAATACGCTGGTAATATCATAATAAAAAGTAGTCTTGTAAGAATTTTAGACTAATATTTTTCTGCCGTTATTATTGAAACCATTCTGTCTTCTTATTTTTCGAAAATTATCAAGTACTCTATTGATTCTGCTCATCGATAAATAGGAGGATTTATTCAACAGATTTACAATTTAAAATTAAAATTTAAAACTCGCTGATTATTACTAATTCATCTTTTGTTTACAATATATTAACGATGAATCAAATCTAGCTTGAAACCAGTTAAGACGAGCCAAAACTCCAATAAAAAAAAGTTAAAAGAATGAAGATTTGAGTTAGCTTCCACAAAGGGCAGATTAGGATCACCAGAGGTGCTGCCAGTGATGGAATATTGATTCAGCAAGGCTACCCCGGTTATATCCATTTCCTAGCAGGCCTTAGGTAGCTGCTGGAATAGGGGTCCTTGGACTAGGCTGTCCCAAACATACAAGCCTAGGAGAGAGTCGAATCTTAGGACTTGGTCGTGGTGATGGGATTGCACCATAGTTGCTGATAGGTCCACAAGGCGCCCTAGGTGAAAGGTTAACTTGTTCAAGTGCTTGGAATTGCAAATCTGCAGGGTATTCCCGGACACATCCAATGCGTGGTCCGGTTCCAGTAGTCCATTTGCAGGACATGTGCTTAGCCAAGTTATAAACTGGTTTATCCATTTCATCAGTGCCTGTACTTCGGCCATCTACATCAGATGTGCTTACATTCTTGGATTGATCGTCTCCACAACCACCTAATGATTGTCTTGGAATTGATTCCTCATTGGCATCCTTATGAAAAGGAGGGCAGTCATCATCGATTGCACATCTCTGCAAAAGATGAAATGGCAAAAGGGTCATCAATTAAATGCTTTTCTATGAAGGAACTTAAGTTTGCCTACCAAGACTAGGCAAATAAGTGTACGTCTGTTGTTGACAAGGATTGAAGCATATGTACAGACAATGTAGATTCATAACAATTACCTTTACATTAGTAAGATCTACGCCATTATCCTCCAGGAAGCTTATGAATTCGCTGAAGCACTCCTCTGTTGGATGGTAGTGACCGCTATATGGCCAAATTGCCTGTAAATTGAGAAAATTATTCAATCCACAGGTAGAATACATTCTAACCAGTACTTCAAACTTAAGATTATTGTGAACTCTCTAGAATTATGTATATATACCTCAAGAACACCATCATGAGCAACCAATCTTCCAGCTGCAGTGATGGCCCCGCCAGCAAGAAAACTTGAATGCTGAAACAGACCTTTCTTCTTCTTGCCTACGTACAGAATTCTTGTTGTGCTAAGAACGAATATCCATTTTGAACCTTCAATGGTGTCCAAGGTAGAACAACTTTGTTTGTACACGAGCTTCCCGTTTTCAACCACGACTTCATATAATTCTCTTTCTTTCTGTTAGAGGAATGATCATATATGTTCATGAGAATGCTAGCTAATATGCTATAATTAATTCAGTGCTTCCTTTGAAAATATAATTTCCCGGGCAACGTCTGCTCGTGAGATTGCTAATACTCTTTGATGACTTGAAACTTACCGGTCCCAGATATTTGATGCATTGCCTTTGCAAATTGGCCCGTGAGCACTTGTCAATATTTAGTTCTTTTCCATCTCCGACATCCAACCTTAAAGAACAAATGTTGCAGGAGAAAGTAAGGAACATTTTGTTCATTAACATATCGCGAAAAGGACACTCCTATATCCAGGAAAAGGAGGAGAGAGTTTTGAATATTTCAAGAATATTTTAACTTTCTACTCCCATAATTGTTCCTCAAACGTAAACCAAACAAGTTATCAATCTGAAATGGTAAATAGGGTTCTCACCAGTAAAAGAAAGGCTGTGCGCTTTCGCTTTTGAACCAGATATCATAATAGAGATGTAAATTGTGCCCGTACCTATGGCGTGGATCAATCTGCAGAAAAAGAGTGACAAGTAATATCACGGGTCCCATTGAAGCAATTATATCGATGGTTCAGATTTGTCCTTCTATTATTAAGAATGACAAGCATTTTTACAATTTTGTCCACTGGGGGCTCAAAATTGGATAAAAGCATTTCAATGGTTCAGAGGACTTACAGCCTCAAGCCAGTGCTGTATGGCAAGTTGTTGAGCCTTCTCGTCCTTAGACAATCCCTTTCCAACCTGGAATTGCAAGAAATCAATCCCTCTTTCACAGTAGAAATTTAACAGAACAAGTAGGACTGAACTCGATTGAAGAGTTAAAAATAAGTGTTGGATATTTACCTTGGCTGCTCTCGTCCTAGCTCTAGCCCACCGTGAAACAGCAGTTTCTGGTTTCTCATCATTGAAGAAAGACACAGAGCATCTTTTGAGAGCTGCAAAGTCCAAGGCTTTCCACCTATATATGTCAAATATGAGAATTTAACCAAAAGTACTTCACAAGGCAACAGACTACATGAAATGACAAAATGGTAAGCCAACAAACCATAGCTCCTCTACTACAACTGCACAATCTGCAAGGTTTCTTCGAGTCCGGTAGCTCTTGTATACTTTTTGAATCTTGACGGCAGAAACATTAAGCTCACTAACAGGTCGGGGCGTAAACATGATAGCAGGTTCCGAGAGAGAAGCCGCATCGACTGATTTATAAGTAGAACCATCTGCTTTTTCATTTGCATCATCATATTCTGATTTTCTGATGTCTTCTACTAGATTCTTGAATGAATGCGTCGATCCAAGCATTAATTTTTCAGGCTCGCAATTCCTCAATTTTTTTGAATTTTTCCTACTGAACTTATTGCATCCTTTTGTCATGGCGATGGCTGAATCTCCTGTTGATCCTTTAAGTCAAACAGGAAAATCAAAAACACTGTTTCCAAATTTCTTCAGACACCAAAAGATTTTAAGGTCTCCCCACCTCCATAATTTATAAAGAAAATCCTTATTAATTATAAAATACCACAAAAGGCTTGAATAAAATTTAACCAAGTTTAATTTTTTCAATGTTAATTTAAGCATAATCGAAAAGAACATAATAGTCTTAATAAAACATTAAAATCCCAGAAATATTGTAATAACAGAAGCCGCATGCAGAAAGGAATTATTCTACTAAGATAATCATGAAAAACTCACCAGAACAGAAATGAAAAACCTTAGATCAGTTAAATGTCCCTTTATTGTCTGAATAATATTAATTAAAGTATGCTTCTAATTATTATGAACACCTTCCCTCTTTATAACCGCTGTTATGTAGGGAATTCTGGTAAACGAAATTAATAGACCTTCAAACACGGGTAGGGCGTGTGAACTGGAGACTGACTCAACAGTGGGTTTTGAATGAATTCTCGTACACGTTCAACCCAGACAGAGATTTCTTTCAATTTTCTTGAAATGGGAATGATGAAAATAGTTAGTTTAATTCAAAGACTTTCAAAGGCACGAGTTTTGATGCATTCAAAAAGCATATTTTATTATACGTAAACTCCTCTCCCTCTCTTTCATTTTATTTTTTAAATTATTTTTCTCTTTCTCAATAAATGACAATCGCACTCTTGCAATCCTATAAATTATTGTCATTGTATTTTTAATTTTTTTCTATAAATATATGACTTTGATTTTCAATAAAATACACACAAATCTGTTGATTTTTATTCTCTCTTATCTTTTCTCTCTTTTGTTCTCTTTTTTCATACGTGTCAATTTTTTTCTATATACATATGCAACAAAACGAATTTACTGTAAATTTTTTTTCAGTTATTAGTATTCATGATTTTAATATGCATGTCTGTATATGAATTCGTGAATTCGTTTGTATCAATGCATGATTTTAGTAATGCAATTTTTTTTTTTTTAATTTGTCTGTATAAATTTAATATCCTAATATAACTATATTTAATTTATCCAATTTATCTAAAAATATTTAATGCATGATTTTAACTTCAATTAGTCTGTATATGAAATTTTTTTAGTAATAATTTATATTTATAAATTCACATCATATCTGTTTGGTAATTAATTTTTATATATAAAGTCACATCTTATCTATTTGATAATTAATTTTTATATCATATTATGTCTGTATGGTAATTAGTATTTTAAAACTATTTAAATATTTTTAGATATTCTTTTATAAATTTTAAATTGATAATCTATTGTGTTGATGATTTCGAAGTAGCACAATATTATAATTAATATTTTAAAAAAATATTACTTATAGATCCATCTAATAAAATATTATTGCTCCTAAAATAGCACAATGTTATTTACATATATTTTACTTACTTCCTAATAGCATAATTAAATATGATCTAACAGAAATTATAGTTTTGCTCCAGATGAAGATCATGAAATTATAATTTTCAATATTCCAAAAGAATATTGATTTATTACTCTTGGAAAAGTAATAATAAAATATAACATTCTCGAAATAGCACATATCCTGAATAATATATATCTCATTTGTGTTCATGAAGAAAAACAAATTAAACGACTCAATACTGAATTATAATCTTGAAAGGAAAATAATTTTCTTTATTATTAATAATCAAAAAGAATATTAATTTATCGCTCTTGAATAGCACGAATAATAATTTTCAATATTCCAAAAGAATATTCACACATCGTTCCTGAAAAAGTAATAATAAAAGACAACGCGCTCTTGAAATAGCACATGTTTCGAAAAATATATCATTTTGAATTAATTTTTATCCCTGAAGGAAAACATATAACTAATGTCATATTAACATTGATTAAACTGTCCATTTGATTGATTATTATATGATTATATAATGTTTAATCACATTGTTGGAAATTAAATATTGAATTATATCTTAAATTGAACCATAAAGTTAGTTTGACGTTTTGTTTGGCATGACCAGTTGGATCATCATCGGATCAATAATGACGCGAAATGAAAAATTCAAATGGATAACCAGAAGATTCTTCAATCCAACGAAATCCTATATGTTGTTTATTCTCTTTCATGAAAATAGGTGATTAGCTAAATAAAGACTGAATTCCCTATATTTTTTAAAATTAATTATGGTGATTTATGAGGTTCGTCACCCTCCATGTTGACCGTTAATATATTATTTGTATCTAATAGATTTGATACAAATACTAGATGGATTACAAGGTGTTCGCAACATGAAGTTTTCGAAATTACTGCTCAAATTATGAGCATAATTTTCAGATTATACAATCAAGATGATTTGTTTTATTAATGCAACTAATCTAGATCTCAACATTTTACTAAGTATTAGTTGGGATGTCGATAAATAGTTTAATAATATTGCATGTTAAACGCATTTGATTAATATAAATGAGAACAAAGTACTTTTCAATTCTGTTTAATGAATGTTATTATACATCATGCCAATATTATAGTTCTCCCTATTATAATGTCTTATGATTAGAGCCCAATTCTTCATCTACTTATTTTGATAGTGTAGTATATGTAAAATTGATCCGCCCATCGCACTCAAATAGAAATTAAAGAATACTGAGAATAAATGAGTAATTTTAGCATTTGATCTCCCTTTTTTTCAAAATACAATTTTCTCTCTTCTTTTCAATCATACATTTTTCAATAAAATAATATTATACGCATCCCTTTTTTTATCTTTTTAACCATACATTCTCTATCAATATACTGTTTCAAAATGTATTCTACACAAAAAAGAGGCTCAAACAGGCCCTTAATCTTTATCTCAAACGGATGATATTTTATAACGCAATTCGTTGATTATCAATTTGATAGCACAATTTTCTCAGTATAAAGGGGATGAATTAAGAAGCTGAAAATAATATAAAAATGCATCATTATCTAAATTCTTGCAAAAAATAATTCAAGCTAGAAGTTCGAAAGATAATTTATTTACATATATTTATTGACTAAAGAGATCAACTATATTTCATATACCAACTTTAAACACTCGAACTCGAATTAACACCCTGAATGACGATTAGTTAATATTATATTTGATATATCCATGACACTCCTGAAGCGTAAATATATTCGATTCTAATATAAAAATCTACAAATGAAAATTGAGCAATTAGTAAAGATGGTCTCATTAAGAAGTCATATAATCTTGATGAGTATTTACATATAACAAATTATAAAATTTTAGAAGAGGTACAAGTACTTGATAATTGATATGTTGAAAATTGAGATATCTTAATAAATAATGTCATTATGAAGAAAGATATAGAATCAAAAAGAAAAAGTTGTCGACAACACTTTTGCACATGATGTATTGCATCATATAGCAAGAAATCGAAATAAATGCGTTGAATTATATCAATCAAAGTGAATTTTGACCAAATAAAAGGGACACAATCATAAATTGAATTTAGTAGAAAAACCCGAGATTTTCGGACCTGCAGTCCAAAAATCTAAAGGTATATACTTATGTGAAAAGGAAATGAGAAAATGAAGTCGTAACATATAATGCACGACTCTCAACATAGTGAATTTTGCAATGATCGTGGAGGATGAAATCACGAATCCAAATCATGTTATATTGATGATGCCTGAACTAGGAAATATGTGATAGTCAATTCATTTGACATGACTATTAATCTTATTTCTGAAAGATTTAACATGCTTAAAACATAATTTAAGTTATATTATTATGAGATATAGTAAATACGCATTGTACTCTTTTTTTTTTCAACCAAGATTTTGTCTTGTTGGATTTTCTTGGTAAGGGTTTTTAACGAGAAAACTTTTCTGGCGTACTTAAAATAATAATGCACTCTTTTTTCTTTCATTCGAATTTTTCCCACAGTATTTTTTTGAATAAAATTTTAACGATACATATTTTTTGTGTAATAAATGTCAATAACATACAAGACATTTACTTTCATAATAACTCTTATATGTATGAAATTCTCGAAGAGATCAACGAGAGTTATTATTTGAATCATCATGTTACTACAGTCATCAAGTTTTATCCCACTAAATTTTCTTGAAGACATCGACTTACAAGACTTCAATATTGAAAACATTAGCATACAAGACATTAATCGAAGAATACAATAATTGAAATCAGGTGATCAGCTGTACTCTTTTTCCTTAATATTTGGTTTTCTTGACAAGGTCTTAACAAGATATATATTTTGTAATGTATCATTTAAGGGAGAGTGTAACAAATTGCAAATTAATTAGTGAATGACAATAGTACCATTGCGGTCCTAAAAATTATTATCATTGTATCCCTAACTCTTCCCTTATAAATATAGAACTTTAGTTCACAATAAAATACATATAAATTTATTGACTTTTATTCCCTCTTCTCTTTTTCTCTCTTTTCATAACATTTTCCTTTTCCTTTTCTTTATTTACAAAATTTTAGAATAATATTAGGTAGCACTATTGGTGCTATTATCCAAGTGACATGCAAATAATAGGGCATCTTAAATTTAATAGATTGATACTTATCAGCTTTTGGATATTCCTCTCGGCTCAATACAAAAATGGACTTTTCTCTTTCGTGAAAATACACGGATATGAGTTAAAACAATTTATAAGTTTGTTATAAAATAAATAACTCTTTGTTAATCAACTTTACAAATTAGTAAATTGATTATTTTGATCGGATTGGTATACCTCTCAACCCAACGGATCAATATTCACCTCTTTGACTGACTTTTCAAATTTATTTGAAGGTTTTTCTTCCACACAGAAAGCCAAGTTAACTTCTATCTATTGTAAGTGCGACAAAAAGATGAGTGATTAT